GCAGACTACACTTGCTCTCCCCAGTCCTTGTTCACCTTCTTCACCGAATCTTCTTGCTTCAGCCAACGATAACAACACTGCGGTCGTAACCGTTTGGATAATCCTTGTAATCATCCTTTCATCGAATCTTGGAACACTTCTTGTTCTTGTCCTTCTCACTTCAGCTTCTTGAACTTCTTGATCACTTGGTGTGAAAAATTCACCTGTATATCCTAAGCTTAGCATGTACTTGCGTATCTTCTCCCGTGTCAGGGATTTGGTCCCCAAGTCTGAGGGATTGTCCTTACCTGCTATCGCCTTTATGATAAGCTTCGGAATTCTTTGGATCCATAAAAGGTCCACTTGTAAATGGCGTGCTCTTCCTAAGCCTTTTCTTGAGATCAACTGTCTTGAGCTTGACGAATCACTGTATAACATCAGTCTTGGCTCAACTCCTAGGATTCTTGTCAGCAATCCTTTCAGGAATACACCTTCGCTTAAGATTGATGTCGCTGCGATTGTCTCAGCTTCGCAAGATGACAATGCTACGCTTTTCTGCCTCTTGCTTTGGAAATGAACCAGGTTTCCATTTACCATGATCACTCCGCATGAAACACTTTGCCTTGACTCTCGATCTGCTGCCCAATCACTGTCGCTTATCACTTCTATGAGCGCGGGAACTTTGTAGTTGTCCCTCTCGTTTCCTTCTTCGCTTCTGTTTTTCACTTCGAGGAAACTTTTCCCGGGGTAACTTCCTTGGTGTACCAACGCTAGCTCTGGTGATCCCTTGAGATACTTTCCAACGTACCTTAGCAGTTCCATGTCTGCTTCAACGGGTGATGCGAGCTTTGTTGACAGCTTCTTCAAGACATACATGATATCTGGCCTCTCGGGCGCGAGATACAGTAGGATTCCTACTCCTTTTCTGAACGTGTGGTGATCTTCTGTACTCAGCGGTTCCATTCCACCTTCTTTTGTTTGAAACGATCTTCCATTGTCCGCTGGACACGGTAGCTTCTTCGGGTATGCTCCTTCCAACTTGAGCACTTCTACCAGTCCTTCGATGTACTTTGAGTTCATCGTGATCTCTACGTTTCCATCTCCCATCGACTTGAAACTTCTCTTCAGGAAACTCATTGATCCTTCATTCTCATCCATTGGTCCTTCCACTTTGATCTTCAATCCTTTGCTTCTTAGGAATTCGACCAACTTCTTGAATTCTTCTTTTGATGCCTACAGCTCCATGTCATCTACATGACTCAGCACGATTATTCCGAATCCTTCTTTGTCTGGTGTCCTTGAGAATAGTGCCGGGAGTCCACTATCACTTGTTAACCCGTACTCCTCCAGAACTTTTCAACTTCCCGAACCAAGCTGCACTTCCGATTCGTTGACCGGGCAACGTGAATCCAAGTTCATAGTATTCTCCATCGACTTCAACCACTGTTGGTTCTTCTTGTTCCACCATCAGGTAAGCATCTCCAACATCGATACTTCCAAGTGTATATCCTTCTGAAGACGCGAACAGGGCTGATAGTAGCTTCACTGTGCTTGCTACACCGGTTGGCGAAAACAAACTTGCAATATCTGTATCACCTAACCACTTGAACTCTCTTGCTACCAACCGTCCTCTTCTTCTCCACTCTTTGTCCCTGTGCCTCCAGTCGTACACTATCTTTGTCGACAGAAATTTGTACTTTGAAATGTCTGTTCCTTCTGGCAACTTGTTCAGCACTTTCATCTTCTCAAGTCTTTCCAACTCGTGCTTCTTTGACACTCCTTCGACTTTCTCCATTTCTTCATCGGCTAACTTTGGTGGTCCGCTTTCGAAATCGTTCGACCATTTTGGCATATCTTCTGGTGTTTCTTCTTCACCATCTGATTCTTGCCATTCTTCTTCTTCTTCATCAAATTCAGCTTCCATTTCTTCAAACTCTTCCAACTCAACTTCATCATCATCGTGATACTGCGGAAGTTCCTTTCTTAGGAATGGTTCTATCTTCTTCACGCTTCTCATGTCGATCACTCTTCTTACTGAACTTGATGCTTGTCCCGGAGACGCATCTCCTATGGCCATAAACTTCTCTGGCCTCTCTTCGGCTTGCGCTGTTCCTTCATCCACTTTCTGTCTCACCGCTTCTGGCTGCTCGCCTTTTTCAAGGTTCCTCTTTGGCGATGCTGGCGGTGGATTCTCTCCTGTGATCAGCTCATCAGATTCATCACTTCTTTCACTTCTTCTTCTCGTGACTCCTTTTCCACGACTGCTTGAACTGCTGCTTGTTGATCCAGCATGTCCTTCACCTGGATCTTCGTCCATGTCTTGTTCAGTCTCGCTTGGCGGATCTGATGCCGCTTCTTGGCTTGGGCTTCTTGCTCCTGGCTTCTTTCTCTTCTTGGAACAAACTCTGGCTTGTCACCAGTTGCCATCTCGATTCCACTGTGCGGTGGCAATCTCTTCGTCGATTTTCTTCCTACCAACATGTCCTGTGTGTAGTTCCACGGTGTTCCTGTTGCCTCTGCTAGCACTTCGACGTCATACAGCGGCGTACACTGTCTTATCGTTCTGCTCTTGATGATTCCTTGTCTTGTGCTTATCAGATTCAGGTTATTCACCGAGTCTTTTCCAACGAAGATTCCTTTTCTCCATGCTTCTCCCTTTTCCTTGACTTTTGGTACTGGCTTCGCCAATACTACGCTTCCCCATGGCGCTAATGTTCCTTTGTACTCTCTGTCGAATAGCACTTCAAAAGGTGTTGATCCTTTCTTCACAACAAACCTATTCAGCAGGAATGCTGCATGTCTTGCTGCCTATGGATACAGCGTACCTTCCGAAGTAATCTTCACTTTCGCTTGCGATTCAACTCCATACACCAATGTCTTGGATAAGTTCCGAACTGTTTGAACCCATCTTTCAACTTGCAATCCTTGGTGTTCATCTGGTGCTACGTCTTGTATCTCTGTATCAAGATTCTTCATCTTCCGTATTCCTTGCACCTTCTTCCTCAGCGAAATCATTGCTGGTTCCGTGTCAGTTCTCAGAATGACCTTAGAATTCAACAGCATAAGCACTCTGCAGACTTCTTCAACAACACATGCTGTCACTTCTTTTGTCGCTACTGGAAAGACATGTACGAACTTTGTTGCTTCATCAACCATCACCAGTCCGATTGTCAATGCATCTTTGTTGTCTTTTGTGTTCTCTTCGTCTCGAGTTCCAGTGAACTTGAAATCCATTGAAACTAATGAAACTAATGATGCTTCATTCTTCTTCTCAGACACATGGCGGGGGCAGCACCACCATGATCCGCCGCGGTAATCGTTGCGACGGAAGCATGGGGTGCACCCAGGTGCTCGCTCATGGGCTCGTCGGGGAGCGGGGCTCCACCGCATGAATCGGGGCGCGGTGGGCGAAAGGACGCCGGTGGACCACGGCCGTCCGGCCCGGACCCAAAGAGGGCCCGAGCGCCCTCTGGATCCCCGCGAAGGGACAGAGGACAAGAGGAAAGGTCGGTCGGAAAAAGGGTAGGTGCAGAAGCAGCAGGAGCAGCAGACGCAGAAAAGGCAGGCAACAAGGGCAAAGCACGAGCGGTGGCAGAAGCAGGCAGCATGCCGGCGTGCATCGTGCCAGGCGTTGCGAAAGCGGCAGCAGCAGAGCATGGCAAAAGCGGCGCATGGTGCTGAGCTCTCTGATCGTCCTCAGCAGGCAGCGAAGCAAGCAGCGAAGCAGAGCGAGCGAGCGAAGCGTGCGAGGCGGGCGCAGTGCAGCAGGAAGCGTGGGCACTATCATCGGGCTCCACGACATCCCGAGCAACTGGCGTCACTAGTGAAGAACCGACAGTCGAGGGGACACGGGGAGAACCGATCGGAGTCGCCATTCTCTCGGTGGCGCGGCCAATCACAAGTTCCGAACTTGGTCTGAGCCAGGAAAACGGTAGTGATCGGACGCTGATTGGATCAGGCGGTCCGAGTGCCAAGCAGCAGCAGCGAAGCAGCAATCCACAATCGGATGCGGAGGCCTTACGGCTGATAACCTGTGAAAAGCGGAGGATTCCACTCAACTCTCGGTCACAAAGCCCAAGGCAACCAATCGTAGATCAAAGCAAGGCAGCAAGCAAAGCAAGGATGATCAGAGATTAAAACCGTAAGTTTGACGCTCAGCAAGAAAGGCAACACTAGAACCCCCAGGCGCTAGCGGACCTTTTGCTGGACCTGACGCAAGGTCGGTCTTGAGCAGTCAAGCTGCGCAAGTGAGACAAAGTTGGCGTGAATCCTAACCAAGACACAGAAGCACATGTACGCATGTCCGTGACAAATCACACAAAGCTCTGCTAGTAGAGCCGGTCTGAGCCGTGGTGCTTAGAGAGAGAGAGAGAGAGAGAGAGAGAGAGAGAGAGAGAGAGAGAGAGAGAGAGAGAGAGAGAGAGAGAGAGAGAGAGAGAGAGAGAGAGAGAGAGAGAGAGAGGGAGAGAGAGAGAGGGAGAGAGAGGGAGAGAGAGGGAGAGAGAGAGAGAGAGAGAGAGAGAGAGAGAGAGAGAGGGAGAGAGAGGGAGAGAGAGGGAGAGAGAGGGAGAGAGAGGGAGAGAGAGAGAGGGAGGGAGAGAGGGAGGGGGAGAGGGAGAGGGAGAGGGAGAGGGGGAGAGGGAGAGAGGGAGAGAGGGAGGGGGAGAGGGGGAGAGGGAGAGAGGGAGAGGGAGAGGGAGAGAGGGAGAGGGAGAGGGAGAGGGAGAGGGAGAGAGGGAGAGGGAGAAGGAGAGGGAGAGAGAGAGAGAGGGAGAGAGGGAGAGAGGGATTGCATTTCGCCCGAGCATGCTTGCACCTCCTGTGCTTATGCGGAGGTCGTTGGTCTCGTTCTCGCAGAAGATCACCTGCCGGTAGGGCAGGTAGCTGTGGAGCACCCCGGAAGTCGTTTCCGGCCTCGACCGATGGGACCGTTTCGTCCACGTAGAGATGGAAGTTGCCCAACGAATGATGCCTCTCTTCGAGAATCTTTCGACTTGCTCTTGAAGTCTGGAGTCAATGAGTCAAGCGTGGCGGCTGCGCGTGAGTTCTATTCTCTGCTTCTCCGGAACATAGGTCATGGTGGGCTTCGGCTTCGAGGGGCTCTCTTTCCAGGACCAGGTGTTTCGAAACCACGCCTGCCGCACTTGTCCGCGCACATTCCGTCGGTGCACAACACGTCGAACAGCGGAGAGAGCGGCTTCGGCCGACGCGTCGTGGAAACCGTCGTGGCCTGTGGGAGCAAGGCGAGCTCCGCCTCGGTGGCCCCGCGGTTCCAGGCCGTGACCTGCACCTGCAAGCGGCAAGAGAAGAAGAGAAGAAGCCCACAGAATGTCGCTGGTACTTTGCAATTCGCCAAACGATGCATTAGGCCCAATACTAGAAAGAACAACTTCATATTCAACCTGTCGAAGCAGATTGAAGGAACAAAGGAACTGCATTGAGAAAATCTTGACAACCGGCTCAGATCGGAGACTACATGTGTGCGGATGCGCCCCCATAATCCCTATATGAGTAATTCGCTCTTGCACGGCACCAGGGTGTCGTCCAGGTCAGCTTGGGCGTACCTTTGCGGAGCGGGCTGCGGAGGCTCACGAGCGCTCTAAGGTTGCCAATGGGTGCCGCGCTCGACAACGACGTCGAAGTACTTGTTGTCATCCAGGATCCCAGTGTCCAGCAGCTCGTACTCCCTACACAGACTGCCCGCAAGTGAAAGGCTCCAAGGACGTTGCAGTGTCCAAAGTCGTTCTCGGCTGCCGAGGCACAGCAGCTGCGGGTCCTTCTTTCTGTCAAAGTTCACTCGCCGGAGCTCGTCGTAGGGATACTCAGCCTGCTTGGCTTACTGTCGTCAATGGATCATCCTGCTTGACACTCAGCCTGCGGATACTTGTACATCATCTTCATGTAGCTGTGCGTGGGCGTAGCATCCAAGTAGTAGTAGAGCTCCTGACAGAAGCCGCCAGAGATGGGCAGAGTACTTCGAATGTGCTCCACGAGTTGAGCGAGCTGTGTCTCCTTCACATCCTCACCGTGATTCCCCTGCGGATTTGACAAGCCGTAGAGCCGCTCCTATGCACTGCATGTGAGGGACGAATAAGCACATCGCAGAAGCCAAGGCAAACAGCGGAGCAACTGCGATTTCATCTCGCGGTCAGGTCACCACAACCAGCTTGCCTACACTACGTCCGGAGGTCAGAACATTGTGTGCGTCTCGTGCAGCTGACAAGCTGAATGTTTGCACCGGTGGCACCTGAGGAGACACAAGTCGAAACTTTCAGTTCCATCAGGGCGGGGGAGAGTGGGGGCTACCAGCGAAAGACAGTTTTTATCCTGATCGCTGAGCGGCTGTGATCTTACCTGCGTCTAGCCATTCACTCATCTGTGCGAAGTACTTCCCGCAAGTCTCCGTCTCGTCGGCGAAGAAGCTCCTCGGTATCTATCAAGCAGCGGCCACTGGGGACTCCCGTTGCAGACGTGGGGCAAGTTGAATCCCAGCACGGCCTGCAGCACCACACAGTGCACTCTCTCGAGATCGCATGGCCCATGGCCGACCTTAGTGTCCAGCGTCAGGTCCATGGGATCCTCGGCAGGCGGTTCACAGCAACCAACCGTGCCGGGTGGAAACGATCTCACGGTTATCGCCAAGCATCGAAGTGGGGTGTCCTGGCCAGGTCCACCGCCATTCGGAGCCAGTTCCAGGGCGAAAGCATCCCCAAGCCCCCATCGCACTTGGGAAGGTTGGAGTGGAAGCCGTACCTGGCAAGGAGGTTCGTGCTACAAACAACCGAGAAGATCCACCTTCAAGGCCCCACACGACCAAGCGGCCGTTCTTGCCCAGCAGCTCGTAGGACATCTCGGGTACACTAGTTTTTATTTGTAATCCCTATCTAGCACAAGCTTCGCCGCCGGGTGTCTTTAAGAGTTGCAACGCCATTGGCGTCGAACACGGCACGGTAGCCGTTAGGTGCATGTTGCTGGGCTGCTTTGACCTGAGCTTTCGCCTGAGAGCCTGTCAGTTGAAGATCTGGAAGCTCCAAGAGCCGAAGAACCCAATCATCGCTTGACTTGTCGATAACCACATCCGCCTGCCGTCGGCTGCCAGCGGCTGTCACTTCGCACGTGTCAGCTCAGAAGCCTTGCAGGACTTGACCTTGCTTGGCTGCCCGACGACGCCGATGACGCGAAGCCCACAGATGCGCAGGATCTGGCGCCGCACTTTCGCAGAGCTAGCACAGCCAGCCAGCTAGCACTACCAGAAATCCAGCAGGCTACCAGCTCAGGCCTGGCAAAGCATGTCGCCCACCCCTCCTGCAGCCGAGTGCACCAAGGCATCCCGGCCTGCGAAGCGTCGAAGCATCATGCTTCAAATTGCACGGCCACTAGCAGACATTACAAAACATTACAACCTGCATCATCCCGTCGTCTAGAGTCTAGAGGCCTGAGGCGAGCAGCTCGTTGGGCCATGCGCCAGCCAGGTGCACCGCATGCAGCGCCGTGGCAAAGACGCAGGGCAGCGCCGCCGCCGCCTCGAAGCCCAGGCCCTGAGCCGCTGAGCCGCTGAGCCGCCGAGCCGGGAGCCGGGAGGAGGAGGAGGGGGTCCCGGGGTCCCCTTCGCAATTGAGCCCTTTTGCCTCGGGCATCTCCAGGAGCTGCGTTCTGGGCACCACGACGCCTCAGCGCTCGGCGGCTCGGCGGCACTCGTTTCGCCCACTGGAGCTTAGGGGGCGCTTTGGCCGAGCAGCGAGTCGCATAGGAACCGAAGAAGCTGCAGCCGAAGACCCGATCGCCCGCGACCAGGCCGGAGTCCTCTCCCGCCAGCTCAACCTCACCTCCGCGCCGTCCGCGCGGAACTCAGACGCTCTTGAAAAGGGTCGTATACAAGGGCCCTATTGTAGTTGTAGCAGCGTCTCGCGCCTGCGAGGTCGAAGCCTGGGACGATGGGCCATCCCACGAAGCGCAGCGCCGACTCGTATAAACCCCATCGGATGCAGACATCTGCGTAGTTGATGCTGAAGGCCTGGAGAAGCTCCCAACACGCAGCGATCACAAAAGCTCGCACTGCGGGGGCCTTGTTTCGCACAACAGCGAGATCAGGTCGGAGAGGCTTAGGAGGACTCGTTAACCGCTGGCTGCCGAAGTCCTGATCAGTCAGGTGCCACCGTGGTCTGATCTGCACAAAGCTGCCGCGCTCCCGGTGCCCCGGTGCTCCCTCATCAAGTTGTAGCCGCACACAGCCCAAGAATCCAATGAAGCTCGCAGCTGGTCCACACCTTCGGAGCCAGCCAAAATAAGCAGTGCTTCGCATTTCACAAGGACTCCGTGTGGCCCCGGAAGGCCTGCTGACATGGCTCTACATAGTGGCTCACGGCCCCAGCCGAAGCCGCGCGCCTCCAGGCCCCAGGATCTCGATGCACACACATCGGTCCTCTGCCAGAGGCAGAGGCATTGGGATTTAGGTTCTCAACAGCGTGGTCTCCTCACTGTCTGCCTGCAATTTCGCCCGTTCTGCGCTTGTTGTGAAAAGGGGTGGAGCAGGCCTGCGAAGTACCTATCAGAGTTCATGACACGTCGTGATATGCCAAAACGAGTCTCTTCACGGCCTGGCGAATGAACCAAATCCTGGGTCCGGCGGCTGACACGTCGCAAACAGCAAGATGCTGGCATTGAAGCCGAGGGTCTGCAGGTTCAGGGCCAAGGCCAAGACTTGGTTCCACAAGACTTGCCAATCAAAGGCCATCACCATATTGCAGGCTTCAAGGTGTCTCAAGGGACTCAAGGGATCCAAAGTCTTTAAACTTCCCACTAGCTGTCACTAGCTCCCTGACTTACACTGGGGCCTTGAGTCAGGCTTGGCTGGTGAAAGCGTCTAGGAATTCCTGTCCGATGGCCGAAACGTTGCCGCGGGGACAGGTCTGAGCCTCTCATGCCAAGGATGCCGGACTGCGCTCTCCAACGTTGGCCCCGTCCTTGAGGATGGGATCCTCGCGTGAAAAGCAGGGCTGTCAGCGGTTGGAAGCTCGTGCATTCTCAAGAGCCCGTTCCTTGCCGTTCCACAATGCCAAGCCCAAGCAAAGGTGCATGGACCGGTCACACCAGCCAGCCAGGCCGTCCTCTGCCATTGTGGTCTGTGCTCTGTAAGGATTTGTAATATGATCACGCCGCGGCAATACGCTGATACTGATTAGTCAAAACTTGGCAGCAGATGTTTGCAGGACAAAGAACGCACAGGCGGCGGTTTTATCCAACATCGGTCGGCGAGTATACACATCAGTGATCATCACGGGCATCACGACTCATCATAATTGGTATTATGCACGCACACGCACACACGCACACACCCACACACGCACACACGACCCACACACGACCCACACACACCCACCCACACCCACACCCACACCCACACCCACACCCATGCACACCCACACCCCCACCCCCACACCCACACCCCCACCCCCACACCCACACCCCCACCCCCACCGCCACACCCACACCCACACACCCACCCCCACACCCACACCCCCACCCCCACCCCCACCCCCACCCCCACACACACCCACACACACCCACACACACCCACACACACCCACACACACCCACACACACCCACACACACCCACACACACCCACACACACCCAACCCACACACCCACACACACCCACACCCCCACACACCCACACACACCCACACACCCACACACCCACCCACACACACACCCACCCACCCACACACCCACACACCATCACACCCCCACACACCCACACACCCACACACC